CCCCCCCGCCCCCGCCCAAACAAACTAAAGAAGAAGAAGAAAAACAAAGAAAATAAAAAGAATGAGAAAGAAACGAAAAGACAAACCATTAAGCATTGTATACGTCACATGAATATTTGCTTCTGCAAACATTTTTGCTGTTATCTTCCCGCTGCCCGTATTATATGAGTCCACCACCACCACTGAAAACTCCTTCCCCTCTCTCTTCGCCTGTGCAGCAGCAGCAGCAGCAGCAACAGCAGCAGCAGCAGCAATAGCAGCAGCAGCAATAGCAGCAGCAGCAATAGCAGCAGCAGCAATAGCAGCAGCAGCAGTACAAGCAGCAGCAAGAGCAGTAGTAGTAGGAGAAGCAGCAGCAGAAGCAGCAGCAGTAGTAGGAGAAGCAGGGAGCAGCGGCAGCAGCAGAAGCAGCAGCAGGAACAGCAACAGCAGAAGCAGCAGCAGGAACAGCAGACATGAATGCTTGGAAGTCTTTTTTATCAGGCAAAGGCGCATGCAAGTAAATAAATAAAAATAAAAATAAATAAAATAAGTAAGTAAATAAAACAATAATTAATGCAAAGACAAAAGCAGCATAAAGAAATATAGAGATTGAGAAGCAAACAGAGACAAACAAACAAAAAAAAGAGAGCAGAGCGGGAGGCAAAGAGACGAAAAAACCAAATAAATAAAGACGAGTACAAATAAACAATAAAAACAGATAAATAGACAGAGATAATAAGACAAAGACAGATAAAGAAACAAAGACAGATAAATAGACAGAGATAATAAGAGAAAAACAGATAAAGAAACAAAGACAGAGAATAAGACAGAGCAGCAAAACTGCAACGAATACTACTACTACTACTACCGCTGCTGCTGCTGTTGCTGCTGCTGCTGCTGCTGCTGACCTGCAGGAGAGCGCATGCAACAGCTGAGGATCTCCCGAAGACAAGAATTGTATCTTTATTTTCAACAAGTTGCTGCTGCACCAGAGACCCAACCATTAAACAAGCAGAAATAATTTTTTCGTTTAAAAAGCAGTCAATGTCTCTGCTTAAAGAACGACAAACCTCCTCCACCTGCAACGCCCCGTAGCCTGAGGTGTACACGCAGATATATATATATATATATATATATATGCATTATATAATATATATATGTATGTATATATGTATACAGCAAACCAAAACGAATTAAAACAACACAAAAAGAATAAAAGTGAATAAAGAAGAATAAAAAGAAATCAAAAGAAATTAAAAAATAAAAAAAAGAAGAAGAATGAAGAGTAGACGTACTTAACTAAAACAAGACGAAACAAAACGAAGCAAAAAAGAGTAAGCATGCATAAAATATATTTAAAAGAATAAAAATGAGTTAAAAAGAATAAAAAGAAATAATAAAAAGATAAAGAATAAACATACTTGAGAGCTTTTTCTTTAGCCAACGGATAGCCCCACCCATTGCAATACTATGAGGCCTGCAGTTTGTAATAAAATTAATTTGTCTGTCTAACATTTGTTTTAAATGTCTTTCTACTGCTTCATACGGAGCCGGAGAATAATCTTCTATAAAACGCTGAAACGCTGCACGTAAACCCCAAACCCTAAACCCTAAACCCTAAACCCTAAACCCTAAACCTTCATTGGCAGTCAATCATAATATAATAATAATATTATTAATGTTAATATAAATATTAATACTAATAATAATATTATTATTATTACTGTTAATAATAATGATATACAATAATTATTATTGCTGTTTATAATAATATTATTTCTGTAAACAATAATAGACTAACACAGACAATCCCAAACAGAATAAACAAAATAAACAAAAAAACAAGACAAAGAAGAAAGAATAAAGAATAAGAAATGAAGACAAACCCTTTAGCATTGCAGCTGTTCTTGCATTCGTCCCGCATATAACAACAAACACATCAAACAAAAGCAAAAAAAATAAAATAATAAACAGAATAAACAAAATAAACTAAACAAACACCAGACAAAGAAAGAAGAAAGAATAAGAAATAAAGACAAACCCTTTAGCATTGCAGCTGTTCTTGCATTCGTCCCGCATATCTTTTTCTGCCCCATTTGAATACCAACGCGAAGAACAGCCGGATGAATTATCTCCTGACGAAAGTCCAACAAAAAACGAAGATGAAGAGGCACGCGATCAAGACGGCTGCTGCTGCTGCTGCTGCTGTTGCTGCTGCTGCTGCTGCTGCTGCTTCCGCGCGGCAGTTGTGAGCCTGTAAACAGAAGAAAATATATATATGTATATATATGTCTATATATATATATATATTATATATAAATGTATATGAAAATGTGTACACATATAGATCTATATATCTGTGTAAGTATATATATGCCTATATAATGCATATATATATAATGTATATATATATATATATTATATATACACATACATATGTAGAAAGACACACCTATAAGCTTCCCTCTTCCGCACTGATCTGTGAAGCTGTCTTTAGGAATAACAAATCGCTGAAAAGGCGGCAAATGAGCGAATTCGCGAAGAGGGGGCTGGCGGTTGCAGTGTACAGACAGCTGCGCTACAGAAGGCCAAGCTGTCTGTACACCTCGAGAGACAAACTGTCGCTCGCCGCCGCCAAGGCAATTAGCTCCCATCTTCTCTCCTCGACGAGTATCTTGACGAGAAGGAAAAGAACGAATATGTACATCATGAACACCCCCTGATGCTGTTGCTGCACCTCCTCCTGCCGTTGCTGCTGCTGTTGCTGCTGCTGCTGCTGTTGCTGCTGCTGTTGCGTCGCCTTTGGACTCCGGAGGCATCATGTGTGTGAGTTGCATACCTACAGAAGAACCTTCAGCTGAATTACTGCCAATAGAAGGCTCCAAGCAAGCCTGAGTAGCTGCATGCACTGGGGCAGCTCTCACTGCTGCTGCTGCTGCTGCTGCTGCAGGAGCTGTAGATGCGCCATCCAAGCAGGCAGCGCGCTTGCCTATTCCAGACTCGTGGGGGCCCAGTGCAGCAGCAGGGGCCCTGTCGTCTTCTGCTGCAGTTGCTGCTGCTGATGCTGCTGTGGAAGATACCTTGCATGGCTTGCTGCTGCTGCAGTTAGATTCTGTAAGTGTTGAATCTGCTGCATGCAGCTCCTTTGTGCTTCGGCAGCCGCAGTCTGCCGCCTGAGCTGCGCCGCCGTCGTCACTTGAACTGATGATGTTGTGCATTTCTGAATGCAATGAAGAAGGGGAGGAGGCGGGATCGATCCCCATCCGGGGTCTCTATACAGCCGCCATCTGCAGCGGCAAAACTCGGAAGAAAAGATGAAATGTTGCGCTTATAAGTCAAACAAACATATCCTTAATACTACATGCGTGTGCATGTGTATACCTCAACTGCACGAATGAGTGGCTTGCTGCTGCGGTGTCTGTCGCGCTGGCATGAAACAAACATATATTAAGAAAAATGCAAATAACCCAAGAAGAGTTCTAAATTCAGCAACTCGATAGAAGGAATCAGGAGAAGAAAGGTCTCAGCCCCACTAGGGGGCTGCCATCGCTCGGAGAGCGCCGCCGGGGCTGTCGGTCTTCTTTGCTGGATAAAGAGGTTCGCTAGGAGGAATAAATAGCTTTTTCAGAAAATAAATTTAAATATAAAAATAGGAGTGTTGGTGTGCGAGGGAGAATTTGAATTTCAGTTTACCGTTCAGCTCCGCTCCTCGGCCGCGCTCTGCGCCCAAAGCGATGCTGGAGGCGATCTCGGTACTTGTGGCGTCAATTTTGTTCGTTTTTTACTTTAAAAAAGCGATAAATATGTTTTTAATTAAGAGAGCGTACAAAATAAGCTACAGGTCATAGGTTTGCTTCACAACAACATTCTCTCAAGCCAGCAGCCATCAGCGTCCGGCAAGTTGAATAATTGCGGTGTACACACACCGCAGGAGATGTGTAGGTGATCGCTTGTCGATGATTCGATTTCTCGTTTGTTGGTATTTTTGGTTTTCACCTTTTGCTTCATATTGCTTAGAATGATTCGAAGAGAGGGCTGCCCCTTAACGGCTGCTAAATGGGCAGTTGCTCCCTTTAGGTGTTCCTCAGTGGATTTCAGTTGCTTAGCAACGGCAGTTCAGAAGAATCTGCGGTGCATTCCGGCTCATCTGTTTGCTACTAGTGATGAGGAGGCGGTTGTATCTGACTGCACAGAAGAAACAAAGGAAAACTGCAGCCATGCACACCTGGTGTGTACACTGCCAGTTGCTGTTCACATTCTGCATTGCAACAAGCGCGGTGCCTTCCCTCCTCTTAAGCTGTCTCTGAAGTGGAAGCATAAACCTTTCTTTCCGTTTCCGTTGCGGGCGGGTAGCAAACGCGAACAGGTCCACTGGTCTGGACCATTCAAATACCACCTACAGACGTCTTACACTGACGCCCTGCCGATATGGTTGCTGCTGCCTACGGTGCCTGCATCAACTACTCCTTCCCGGCCGCACCCTTGCCAACACGAAGCAGCACGCAAAGCGGCACAGAAGCGGCTCATGCTGCAGCAGCCTCCTGGGCAATTAACTGCATCATCTGCATGGTTTCTACAGAGGAGGGCGCGCAGACAGTCAGCGCTAACGCGGGTTCGTAATATTTATACATTTTTGTTACAGATTAAATTGAATACTATCCCCTGTTATGATGTACACTGCTTCTTTGTTAATAATCTGCAGGAGTGGACAGACAAGAGGCCGCCAGTGCGGCAACTCGCGCCAAATCGGGAAGCAACTGCATGCATTTCAGTGCCTACACTGCCGATTTGGCGGTTGATGCTGCAGCGGCAGCCTCCTCTGCTGCTGCAAAAACTGCTGGAACGCAGCAGAACAGCAGCAGCGGCAGCAACAGTCGCTGTCCCCATGCAGAAGCCACCTGCATCTTGGCTGTTTATGCTAGACAGGAGGAAGGCAAGGCGGGTTGCAAGCCCAACAACAACACAATGCCAGACAGCAGAAGGGGGCTTCTTGCTGGAAATAAATAAAGCTGCGAATAACTGTTCTTTGGGCTTTGCATTCCCCCAGCAACAGCCTGCAAAAAATTGCATGCGGCTTGGAACCTGTAAGTTAGCGCCAACGCAACAACAATAATAAACACCCCTGAAATGCAGATGATGATTACGATGTAACTGATGCTGCAGATCTTCCCCCGCAATATTATTCAACCCCCAAAGTACAGTTGAGGGCAGGTGCACAAGAGCCCTGTATGCTGATGGGAAAGGAGGATGAGCGACTAATAGCTGAGGGCGTTAGAAAAAGAAAAGATGTGCAAAAGGACATTGTTGAGAAAGCTCAATTCGAAGTGAGTCTTGGAAAACGGAAAAAAATGAAGGGAAAAGAAATACCCCCATGCAATTTCAGCTACCGCCCTTGATGCTGAAGAAGGCAAACCTCCTTCCTGGCTTTCCTAGAAGTAGGAGCTCAATGCAGATCTCATACTAAATATAATTACCAATTAAATTAAATGTCTTAATGCCAAATGAGCAGGGAATACAAATAGGGTTTCGGAATTTGCTGCGCAATTGGAAAACAGCAAATTTGCATTCGCGATAGCTGCCGATACACCCGAACGAAGAACAGCAGCACATGAGCGAAATAAACGCAACAGAAACCGTTTATTCTTCCTTAGGAGTTTTGCAGCAGATATATCTGAAGATGAAATATGTGCAGAATACCAACATGATGCGAATTACCGCAGCTTTCCACTTAGATCGGGTGCTGAGGTCAATCGTGTGTATACAGCAGATGCTGAAACGGCAGAGGAAACAAAAGCACTTGAGACGCTAATTGGAGCTTTAAAGGCTTCTTCTAGTACAAATACATCAGAAAAACGCGTAGGTATATATTTCATTAGTAATTATACCTAAAATTAAACGATAAGCTCTCTCGTTTTCCTCGCTGCTCGCGACATCGTGCAAATAATCTCAACGCCGTCTGGGTGCAGGTCGCGCACATTTCAGAAATAAGGGTTGACTCAGAAACAAGGTACAGCGTTTATATTATTTTAGCAATTACGTTATCATTATTTGTCTTAAAACGAATTTCTTCGTCTTTCTTTATTTGCAGCATCCTCTATGTCGTTGGGGTGCCGCAAGGGCAGGAGTTGGCGGCGAGGGTTCTGCGTATTTCCGTGGGTTTGTGTTGTTGTTTTTAGTCTATTTTTATTTTTATTTATTTCAATAAAACATTAAATCTGCATTTACAGGCTGTCACCAGTAAATGTTTTGTTGTGGGCCAGGGCTGGGGAGATGCGTTTGCTGTGAAGATGATGACGTTGTTGTCGTTCTTTACGCAGTAAGTTAAGATTTTCTATTGGAGGCGCAAATATAGTTTTTTTTTTCCTAAACTTTTGTTATTTTTCAAGTCCCCAAGTTGTTGTTCTCCTCGCCTTCTCTCCTGATCACTCACGTCAGCTACCGGCACCGCATTTTTTGCATTTGTTTGCTTTGCATATTTTCACCATTTGCATTTATTCTTTTTAATTCTTTTAGGCTCCATTTTAGAAGCTGTGGCGGCGAACAGGAGAAGATATCGCGAGGACGCAACGACTACGTGTCTGTACACCTGAAGAGTGTGTGCGTGTTTCCGGCTCCCTTCTACACCCTCTAAACAACAGAAAAAAGAACTGAAATAAAGATTTGAATATGCATGCGGTAATATCTCGCACCCTCCCCACCTCCTTTGTTTTGTCTGCATTGTGTCTATTTGTTTTTATCTCTGCTTGTTTGACTGCTTGTCTTCCTTTCTACCTGTCTTTTCTTCTTTCTTTCTGTCCCTCTGTCTGTCTTTGTTCTCTTTTGTCTGTTTGTCTTTATATATTTTTGCGTTTAGACGTTTTTTCATTGCTCTCCGTGTGCTGTCTAGCGCGGTGTACGTACACCTCAATCGAAAGACATTGAAAATAGAGTTACTGCATACGTCTGCGCATGCAGCCACAAACTAAACAAATGCAACAAATGGAAATACGCAAGAAAAAGAAGAGAGCAGCTGCATGCAGCTCCCTACAAAATCTGTGTGTATAATACCCCAAATAAAAATTCTTTTTGTTTGTTTTAAATGCCTTTTCACTTATTTCAACACTGTAAGTGAACATGTACAATAAATATACATCAATGGAGACATATAAAAGAATATCTTTAATACGAAACGAAATAAACTAACTATCTACAAAGTGTTAGGGGTAAAAGCAACAAAAAAGCCCCAGCTGCAAAGACCTGAAAGAAATAAACATAAACCGTTCAGTGCTGCGGCCTGTGGAGGAAATAAATATATTTATTTCATAAACAAGCTAACGCAAATAAAGAATAATAGGCTCAGCATACACCCCAACAGTCGCATGCATGCATTGCATCAGCCTAATGCCCTCCCCCTATATGATAATATGCTACAAACTCTTCCTCTGCATGCACAGACAGTCAAACAACCCCTACTCAAACTCTAAGCACCACCTCCTGCTGCGGCTGCTGCTGCTGCTGCACTAGGCGCCGTTGCTGCTGGCGCCCATTCAAACTTCATCTGGCGGTGCATAGCCGACGAGGATATCTCATCCCCGCAAAATCTATTGCTGCTGCTGCTGTTTCATCTGCTTCTGCTGCTGCTGCAGCTTCTGCTGCTGCTGCTGCTGCAGCACCTGCTGCAGGTTCCACCTGTTGCTAGCAGAACAGAAGCGGAAGAAAGCCAGCATCAGCAGCTACTGCTCACTTGGCTAAATAATATGCATGCAGACAAATGCATGCCTTCTAGCATTACCTCCACTGACGTCTATAGGAAGCTAAATCTGCTGCACCTGCTGCTGCTGCATCTGCTGCTGCTGCATATGTCGCTGCTGCTGCATCTGCTGCAGCTGGTGGTGCAGTGGTATTTCAAATGATAAGAGGAAGAACCCCTCCTACTTCTGCAGTCTGCGCTCAGTGTACAGACAAGTGTGGTGTATGTACACCTCAACTGCAGCTGCGGTGTATGTACACCTCAACTGCAGCAAACAGCTTCTCCTCGCTGCTGCTGCTGCTGCTGCTCCTGCCGCTGCATCAACCAAACGCCACATCTAAAAATGTCAGCGCCAACACCAACGCTGCCCCGCTGCAGTATATCAAAAATTGAATACAGCGGCCCCGCATGCAGCCCTTAAAGGCTGACATAGATATCTGAACCCACAAACACAAACCCCAAACCCTAAACCCTAAACCCTAGAGAATGCAAGGGGGTAGGAGAACTAAGCTAAATCCCTGCTTTAAGGCATAGCTCGCCATCCACCAATCTCCCCCCAAATGACTCAGCCAGCGAGACAACTAGCTAGCTAGCTAGCTAGCTAGCTATCTAGCTAGCTCGCAAGATACCTCGCATGCTAGCTATCTACCTTTCAATCTATCTATCTAGCTAGCTAGCCATATATCTATCCATCTACCTATCAATCTATCTATCTAGCTAGCTATCTATCAATCTATCTAGCCAGCTATCTATAAACCTAGCTAGCTAGCTAGCTAGCTACCTCTGAAGCGATGTAGAGTACAGTGCCGGCGCCCAACGCATTGCAAATTCCGGCAGCCAATTTTCCCTCCGCCGCCAAAACAGCGCCGAGCAAAACCCCCAAAGGAGAAGACGAAGCAAAAACAGATATTAAAGTAAATGCTGTCACCCGTCTCTGATAAACAGACATCATAAACCCTAAACCCTAAACCCTAAACCCTAATCAACCAACTAAGAATAACGAATACGCAAAAATGTGCAATCAACAATATATCATACACCCCAAAGGGCAAAAAGAAAAAAAAAAGCAGACATGCATCATAAACCCTAAACCCTAAACCCTAAACCCTAAACCCTCATCTAACAAAGGTCAAGCGATAAGCAATAAACAAAACACACAGGGACAATAAAAACCCCAACCTCCGCGCTCCCCAACCCCAAAACAACCCCTAAACCCTAAACCCTAAACCCTAAAACCCTAAAACCCTAAACCCTAAACCCTAAACCCTAACCTAAAGAGGCTGACCGTATTTCTTTCAACAAGTTGGCACATGAGGAGCATCGCCTCTGCCCATTTGTGGCCAATGACGACCGCCGTCACCATCCAAAGCATAGACAGCTCAGCAGCAGCGCCTACTATAACCCCTGAAACGCAAATAGCTAGCTACAAAGATATAGATAGATACAGAGAGCTAGCTATGGCTAGCTAGATACAAAGAGATACATACAAATAGCTACCTACGGATTGCTACGGCGAGCGAGCTACAGAGGGATAGCTAGCTAAGGTTGGCTAGCTAGACAGCTAGCTAGCTAGCTACGGGTAGCTAGCTACGGTTAGCTAGCTAGCTAACTGGCTGCGGATGCAACGAGCCAGCGGCGAGCACTGTAACTCTCAGGGGCTTCCTTCAGCTAGCTGGCTCGGCTAGTTAGCTAGCTAGCTATCTAGCTATGGCGCGCTATGTCTAGCTAGCTAGCTACGGGTAGCTAGCTAGCTAGCTAGCCAGCTAGCTAGCTAGCTAGCTAGCCAGCTAGCTAGCTAACTAGCTAGTTAGCTAACTAACTAACCTTCGAAGAGGCCGTGTATGGCTAGAGCGAGCATCATGAAGACAGCAGTAGAGGGCGAAGAATTTTTTGTTTTTTGTTTTTTATTATTTTGCATCGCCGTCTTTAAGTGGCTGCTGTCTGCACTCATATTACCCGCTACAGCTTCTTCATCTTCATCTTCATCTTCTTCATCTGCTGCTGCTGCTGCTGCTGCTGCTGCTGTCTTTATACTCCGCGTCGATAGAACCGTCAGTTCTGTCTTTACCCCGCTCTCCATAGCTGCAACAGCAGCAGCAGCAGCAGCAACAGAAGCAGCAGCAGCAAAGGCATTAGTCAGAAAACAAGCAGCAGCAGCAGCAGCAGCAGCAGCAGCAGCAGTAGAAACCCTCACCACTCCATGAAAAAAAAGCAGCAGCAACCGCTACAGCAGCAGCAGCAACCGATGCAGCACCATAACCATACAGCAGCAGCAGCAGCACCAGCAGCATCAGCCCCAGCAGCGTCAGCAGCAGCAGCAGCATCAGCAGCAGCAGCAGCAGCAGCAGCAGCAGTAGATACCGTCGAGAGGGGGCTCTAATTCTTGTGCTTCTGTCGATTGGCTGCCTTTGCTGCTGCTGTCCTTCCCCCGCTCTTCGTGCTGCCCCTCATCTTCATGTGCTGAGACGCAACTAAACCCTAAACCCTAAACCCTAAACCCTAAACCCTAAACCCTAAACCCTGAACCCTGAACCCTAAACCCTAAACCCTGAATCCTAAACCCTAGGCGTAGCCACTCCTGCCTGGAGATTATAGAAGGCTGAACCCCAAACCCTAAACCCTAAAACCCTAAACCCTAAAACCCTAAACCCTAAACCCTAAAGCCTAAAGCCTGAGCTTACAGTCGCCGCAGAGGACCTCCTCGCAGAAAAGAATGACTACATAGCCGATGAAAACTAAACAAAAGGTCAGAGCATAAGGCTTCCCATTGAGGTGTATATACACCTCAAGCTCTGTCAGCAGCTCCACCGCCTCCGGCAATATATGCAAAACCCCAAGAGCCAAGAATGCGCCTACACACAAACCCTAAACCCTAAACCCTAAACCCTAAACCCTCGAAACCCCTAAAAACCCTTTAAAACCCTTACATTAAACCCTAAACCCTAAACCCTAAGCCCTAAAAAACCGTTAAAAAAAACCTTAAACCATAAACCCTAAACCCTAAACTCTAAACCCTCGAAACCCTATATAACTCCTAAAGTAAAAGCGTAAACCCTAGGGCTCTGAATCTGTTGAGTGTGTTTGTGTATTATGATGAACGTTAATTTATTTGTTTGTTTTTGTTGCTGCGTTTGGGTGTACATACACCTACCTGCAGCAAATGCATTTAAATGAGAGATACGCCGCCCTAGCTTGCACTTCTCAAGCAGAAAAGGAACAGCAGCACCACAAAGAGCAGCAACAAAAAATAAAGAAGCTGCTGCTGCTTTAGATGCAACTAAAGCTGCATCAACACCCATCCTGCTGCTGCTCCTGCTGCTGCTCCTGCTGCTCCTGCTGATGATGAAATTGGTGCTGCAGCTGCTGCTGCTGCTGCTGACGCCTATTGATCCCGATGCCGCTGCTGCACGCTGCTGCGGTGGCAGCCGCTGATTCCCCTAAAGCCGCTGCTTTCGCTGCTAATATTGCTGCTGCTGCTGCTGCTGCTGCTGCTGCTGCTGCTGCTGCTGCTGCTGCTGCTGCTGTAGGCGTTCTGTTGTGAAGCTGTTGCTGGGGCTTTGCCAGCCAAATTCCAGCGACTCTGCTGCATGCGAAGAATTCTAAAAGGGCCCCTAAACCCTAAACCCTAAACCCTTAAAACAAGGCAAGGAGGCTCTACTAGCAACGGCAGCGGTGGGCCGGCCCAGGAAGCCCCCTGGATAACCTGTCTGCCTCGAGCTGCTGCTGCTGCTGTTGCTGTTGCTGCTGTCGCTGCAACAGTTTGTCCACTGCAGCTGCAGGAGCAGCAGCTGCTGCTGCTGCTGCTGCAGCTGCGGCAGCCTGTGCTGCTGCCGGTGCTGCTGAAGGCGGCTAATGTTTTTTTTTTAATCTTTGCTTATCTTTTTTCTTTATCTTTCTAAAAGCAGAAGCTATGCTTTTGCTTAGTGCCCCCACAGCAACTGTCGCGGTGTGCATGCAACAGCTGCTGCTGCTGCTGCCGATGTTGCTGCTGTTGCTGCTGCTGTTGCTGCTGCTGCTGCTGAAGCAGGACCCTTTGATGGTTCTCTACGGTGGTAAGCTGCTCCTTAAAAGTATAAAATAAATATAATAAAGAAATAAAGCAGACAGAAGAAGGCAAAGAAAAATATAACAGCGCTGCAGCCCCAGCCCCCAGCAGCACCTGCAGCAGCTGTTGATAATTTTTGTATTTACTTTCAAGTTATTGTGAATTGTTTAAATAAATAAATTAAATATATTTATAATTACTTTAATTTATTATTTATTTAGTATAATAATATATATTATTTTATATATTATTTTATAGAACATTCTGCTGTCTTCATACACTTAGCCCTACGCCCCACAGCAGCGTCGGCTGCTGTTTGTTGCTGAGAGCTATAAAATAAATATTTTTAAATTAATATTTTTAAAATTGTTTATTTAAATAATAAAATAAATAAATTTATTTATTTTATTTTATTTTATTTATTTCTTCATTACTTTTAGTGCGGTATGTGTTCAAGCATTTAGCAGCATAGTTTGTCCGTATCTTTAACATATCTAATAAATAATTATATTATATTAATTGTATATATACATATATATATATTTATTTATTATGATTTATATACCTATTCTTATTATCTACCGTGTCTACTGTCTTCACTGCATGCATGCATGCATGCATAGTCTGTCTCCGCCTTTCATATATCTAATAAATAATTACATTAGTTAAAAGTAAATAAATAAATATATAAATATATAAATATATCTTTATTATGATTTAAATGCCTTATTATTATTATTATCTACTGTCTCCACAGTCTTTATTGCATGCATGCATGCAACAAATATATACAGACAAGACCAGACCTCTCTTCTTTCTAAGTTTTATCTTCTCTCTTCAGCAGCAATACTAATTATACACAACTCATCTACACAATCTACGCAGTATATATATATGCATTTATATATATATATATATGCATATATATATATATCTGTTGATGAATTGCTTAGTAACAATTCCTGTATATATATATATATATCGTCCACTGTGTAGATGAGTTGTTTATAAGTATAATATATAAACATATATAATATATATTATATGCATATTATATATATATATATATATCTTTTCTGTTATTTTAATAACAGATAATAATATATTTTAATAAGTTTTATAAGAAGAATATTTTCTTTTTGTTGTTTTAATGCATGCAGAGTTAGAGAGATGAATTTAATTGCGGTGTATGTGCAGCTAAATATAATTCTTTATTAATAATGAGAGCGACAACAACCAAATAAATATAATAAACTTAAAAAAATAAATTAAAACAAACAAAGATTAAAAAGAATTAAGCAGAAGGGTCCCCCTTATAAAATAAATGACGGCGTCGCTGCTTCTGCTGCTGCAGCATGTATTTTACTTGCTGCTCTTCTTCTAGTATTGCAGCAGCAGCAGCAGCAGGATCAGCAGCAGCAGCAGCAGCACTGGATGAGGGCCCCTGACGACAGAAACAAACAAACGCAAGCCAGACACAAAACCCTTAAAACCGCAGCAGCAAAACAAGCAAATATTAAATAGCAATTAAAATATATTAAAAAAGAGAGACAGAGAAAAGAAGATAAAAACAAACAAACAAACAACAGACACACAAACAACAAACACCAACCCCAAACCACAATAAACCCTAAAACGCCGCATCTGCAAGAGGCCTAGGGTTTAGGGTTTAGCGTTTATTAGGGTTTAGGGTTTATTAGGGTTTAGGGTTTACGGGGTACTGCCAATCAAAGTGGGCTTTGAGGGTTTAATAGGGTTTACTACGTTTTATTAGGGTTTATTAGGGTTTATAGTATGCTTTATTAGGGTTTATTTGGGGGTCATCAGGGTTTACTAAGGTTTATTAGGGTTTAGGGTTTAGGGTTTAGGGTTTAGGGTTTAGGGTTTACAGGGTAATGCCATTCGAAGTGTGCTTTGAGTCGGACGTTTTGTTTCATAGCTCCAAGACATGCAGCGAGGGTTTTCTGAATATGTTTAGGGTGAATGAAGAGAAAAGAATAAAAATATTTTCTGAAGACATAATGTTTAACTGCTGTTTTATATTTAAAGGGGGACTTCAAGTAACTAACTCTCCACTCATCTCGAGGTAAACGGCGAGGTATACAAATGCAACCACCAGGATACCCGTACAACTCTAATCCTGCTGCTGCTGCTGCTGCACGTGCTGCTGCTGCTGCTGCAGGTGCTGCTGCAGGTGCTGCTGCAGGTGCTGCTGCAGGTGCTGCTGGTGCTGGGGATGGTGGTTGTGCTGCTGCAGCCGCTGCTGATGCTGCTGCAGGGTCTGAGGCTGGGGCTGCAGCTGCTTCGGATTTGTGGCAGTCTGCTGCAGCAGCTCCAGGTGCTGCTGCAGTTGCTGCTGCAGTTGCTGCTGCTGCTGCTGCTGCAGTTGCTGCTGCTGACGGGGCTTCTGCTGCAGGCATCCAATTAAGAGATCTTTTGAGGGAAGTGATTGTCTTTGTTAACTCCGAGGCAGAAGGAGAAGAATAAACAATGCGAAGAGAGCGCAGTGTATAGCCAGCGAGGCCTTGTGCTGCTGCTGCTGTTGCTGCTGCGGTTGCTGCTGTTCCGGCTGCTGCTCCCGGTGAAAATGATGCAGTCGAGGCAGCTGGTGCTGCTGCTGCTGCTGCTGCAGCGGCTGCTGCCGCAGCGGCGCGGTGCGACATCCTCAAATAGTGCTGCTGCTGCTGCGGGTGTTGCTGCTGTTGCTGCTGTTGCTGCGGGTGTCGCTCCTGTTGCTGCTGTTGCCGCTGCCTCTGTGGTTGCTCCTGGTGCGGTTGTTGCTGTTGCTATGCTGCTGCGGGTGTTGCTGCTGCTGCTGTTGTTGTTGCTAAATATGCAGGAGCTGCTGCTCCAGATGCAGCAGCTGCTGCTGCTGCAGTTGGGGCTGCTGCTGCTGCTGCTGCTGTAGCAGCAGATGCTCAGGTTGTTCCTGGTGTTGCCGTTGCTGTTGCCTCTGCAGCTAAAGAGTTGTCTACTGTTCGTGCTGCTGCATTTGCTGCTGCATGCTTAGCAGCAGCAACGGGGGTTCCTGCGCTGAGTTCCTGCTGCTGCTGCTGCTGCTGCAGTGAGGGCAGCAGCTGCAGAAGCAACCATAAAATTTGTTGAAATAACACAAAACAAATTCACTAAAACAGCATTTAAGGCGAGCGCATGCACACCAAGCCAAGAAGAACGGCAGCAGCAGCAGCAGCTGCTGCTGCTGCTGCTGCTGTTGCTGTTGCTGTTGCTGCTGCTGCTGAGTCGTTGTAGGCCTGCAGGAGGCCGAGTGAAACCTAAAACCCTAAATAAATGAATTATTAAAACAATTTGTTTTTTATTTTCATCGGAGAATACTCACCGGTAAACCCTAAACCCTAAACCCTAAACCCTAAACCCTCGGTGGTGACCCGCCAGGATCCATTCTTGCCAAGTGCACTACTATCTCGGCAAACCCTGAGGGTTTAGGGTTTAGGGTTTGGGGTTAAGGGTTTTCTGCTGTTCAGAGTCGCTCTCTCGTATCACGAACAAAAGCCAGCAGCAGCAGCAGCAGCAACACCAACAGCAGCAGCAGTATCAGCAGCAACACCAACAGCAGCATCAGTAGCAGCAGCAACACCAACAGCAGCAGCAGCAGCAACAACACCAACAGCAGCAGCAGCAGTAGCAGCAGCATCCGGGTAGGCCTTTGTCTTTGTTGCAGTTAAAGCGAAGAGAGAGAGCCAAAGACAAACGCTAAGCCAAGACAAACAAATGCAGTAGAGTAAAACGAAGAAATGCAAAAATGTATAAATAAAGACGAAGACAAAAAGGAGAAGGAGGGCGTGATAGAAACAGAGACAGAGACAGAGACAGAGATAGAGACAGAGATAAAGACAGGGACAGAGAGAGAGACAGAGATAAAGAGAGAGAGAGACAGAGACAGAAACAGAGACAGAGACGGAGATAAAGATAGTATAATAAAGCAGATAGACACAGACAGGCGCACAGATAGAGAAACAGACATAAGGGACACCATAGAGACACGAGAAGAAACAGAAAGAGCAACAGTGAAGGAGAGACGAGACAAAAGATAAAGAGAGAGAGAGAGACGAGGAAGAGCACCAGAGGGGAAAAGAGACAAAGGAGAGACATCTTCTTATTAACAATGAAATCTTCAGAATGGTTTGTATTCGACTTGGGGAGCTACAGTGTACGTACAGGCATTGGAGGGGCCTCAACGCCCGCTTTTTCTCTCCCTTCACGAGAAGGTATAGAGACAACAAACGAATAAACGAGGAGGCGAACAAACAAAGGAATAAAGCTCTCCTACATGCAAACTCACATACACGTGAAAAACCAAAGAAGGCGCTTCCCCCACCCACCCTCCTTAGCCAGCTAGCTAGCTGCCTTAGCTAGCTAGCTAGCTAGCTAGCGCGAAATAGAACGCGATATTTGCATTGAGCAGTCGCTAGGGTGTTCATTAGCTAGCTGGGTTGGGTCCAGAGAAAGGATTTCAGGTTTAGCTAGCTGGCTAGATAGGTAACTAGCTAGATGAAGGCTATCAGCTAGCTGCATGAATGGATGGGTTTATGGGGGCGTGGGCGGCTTCTGCAGAGCGAGTCATAGAGAGGGGAGTTGTAAGAGATTGGGAGGCACTGGAAAGCCTTTTGTCTGCCTCTGTTTTGTCGGTATCTGAACGAAGTCGTGAGGGAGACAGAGACAGAGACAGAAGTGAAGGAGACAAAAGCAGCGGCCACCAATTTCTTGTTACAACACCCCCTCTAGAAGACTCAGAAGGCAAAGAAAAACTCCTGCAAATTCTATTCGAAACATTTGCTGCCGATGCTGTCGCTCTACTCCCAAGGGCCCCCCTTGGCCTCTTTGCATCCGGTACACACAACGCTCCTAAAATAGCTGCTGCAAGTATTATGCTGCTGCTGCATATGATGCTGCTTCAAGAATCTTGCTGCCGCTGCATATGGTGCTGCTGCAACTATTATGCTGCTGCTGCATATGGTGCTGCTGCAAAAATCTTGCTGTTGCTGCTGTCAACCCTGCAGCAAGTGCTTAAGTATATACCTGCGTTTGAAAACGGTCACGGCCCTTAGCACCACCACCAGCAACAGCAACAGCAGCAACAGCAGCAGCAGCAGCAGCAGTAGCAGCAGCAGCATTTGGGGTACTGAGAATGTGTTCAGGGCAGAGTCGAGGGTTAGTGGTGGAGATGGGCCATGGGCTTACAAGTGTTGTGCCGGTCTTCGATTGCTACGAACTCCAGCATGCAACCTTCCGCATGTTAATAGGCGGTTAGAATAAACCCTAATAGATAATCATCATAAACCCTAAACCCTAAATACGTCTTCCTCAGCCTAATAAATAATAAGAATAAACCCTAAACCCTAAACACGTCTTCCTCAGCCTAATCAATAAGAATAAACCCTAAACCTTATACACGTCTTCCTCGACCTAATAAATAATAAGAATAAACCCTAAACCCTATACATGCCTTCTTCAACGTAATAAATAATCATAATAAGCTCAAAGCTCCAAACACGCCCTCTTCAAGCTTAAAGGTGGCAATAGTAGAACCCCACTTAACCCTTATAAACCCTAATCAGCTCTAAGCTACAAAACTTACACTCTAAAACATCCTTCTGAATGATCATTGACGGCTAAAAGGAAGCCTCTAATAAGCCCTAAAGAGAACCTCAATAATTCATAATCAACGCTAATATACTCTGGTGAAGATATAAAAAATCTTCCTCAGAAGGGGAATTAATCGGGTAGATGCGCAGTTCTTCATAATCGCAAACCCTAAGTAGCTGCAGCGTTGATGTACGCCTCCTAATATCCTAAACCCCAAACTGCTAAACCCTATTATTGTGTGTTTAGGGGCGGAGGTGAGCGAGGCGTTTAGAAGAGAGGTGGAGCAGCAGCACGGGATAATGGGCTCTTCGTTGTCTGCTGCAGTTGTAGAAAATGCAAAAGAGAATATGCTGTATGTACAGCCCAGCTGCTCAGCTGCTGACAGCTGCAGTGAACAAACGCAAACAGCATCAGCGCTCGAACTCCCGGACGGAACAATTGTAGAGGTTAGCCGTTTACATCACCTGTCTCTCATTCTTCTCTTCTCTACATCATATGCCTCCTGTTCTGTTAAATCTAATGTCTCTCTTTTAGTCCCCTTGTTTGCTTTTACTGCCTCTTTTCGTGCTATTGTCTCCTCCTCTTTGTTTCGTAGTGTTAGTCAATTTCTCTGTATCTACGGACTAACTCCCCTTCACACCACTTATTCATTTCCCTCCTAAACTTATATTTAAAGGTAAAGAATCTCTGGGTTGATACTTCGGGTTCTGATTGGCTGTTTATATTATAGGGTCTTGGGGTGTCTGTACAGCTGAGCCCTGAAACGCGAAGCCGCCCTTGTGAGGTTTACTTTGGGGGCGGTGGAGAGACGGGAGCCGTCAAGCCTTCCTCTTTAAACTGCAGTCCTGCTTTAAAGGCGCAGGTGCTCGCTCAAGCCTCTATCCCCCTGTTGATTATTTCGGCGTTGAGGTGTATAGACACCTCGTTGCAGACTACCCTCAACAATCAAATTGTCTTCTGCAGAGGCGGGTCGCTCTTAAGAGGGTTGGGCGACAGGATGAAAGCAGAACTTCAAAAGGCAACGCAGAATGAACCCCAGCATCCTGGGATCGGTATCGGGATCGGGATCGGGAACGGGAACGGGAACGAGTCGGAGTTGCCTTCTAGCGTATCCCTGGTGTTTGCTAGCGGCCGTAAAGATGCATCATGGATGGGTGCGTCTATGCTTTCTACCCTGTCAACATTTCCTTCTCTCTCCATTCAGAAACAACAGTACGCTGAGGGGAAAACAAACAAAGCTGCGCTCCTGGATAATCAGATAGGGGCCCCCTAAAAGGCGTGAGGGCCCCCGTTACAAGCTGCAACAGCGTCGCAACACTTGAGAAGAACGCTTTTAAATGCAGCTTAACCCCTCCCCCTCCCCATTCAACTCTTCACGGCCTTAGCTTAGCAAAGGAATGTCGCTAAGAGCTGCGTTCGGAAGAAGCGGACATCAGCTACGCTCATGTACACAACGACATAAAGGCCTGGGGCTGCTGGGGAGAAGGTGCGAACTCTCACGAGTTGCTGCAGCCCTGTTGCAAGGCACTCCCGCATGCATGCGTAACCAATCCCCTTTTGCTGCATGCAGCAAAGGGGGCCTGCAATAAAGGATATACGTTTACTTCACCCTGACTAGCCACTCTTCATATGAGAAGGAATAATGTACAAACAATAAACACCAATAAAAAGAGAAAGCTACATCTGCTCTGCCTTCTCTCCTGAGCAAGCAACGCTCTCGTGTGCCTGATCTCTCAGCAGGATATCCTTGTATCGAGAAGAGAGTTGAGTTGGGGTATTAGATTAGATTTAAGTGTTGTTGTTTCTTTAATCACAATTATTTCCTAACAAGTATATTTGCTTATATGCGCGAAAGAAACCAAAGGAAAAAGATTAAGGAGGGGATAGAGTGTGCAGCATCTGAAAGCGCTCGCTGTTTCTGCTGCAGTTGCTGCTGTCAGTGTGCTGCTGCTGCGTCTCTACGCTGCTATCATAATCCCTTAAAGATTCTTTTTCTTTGTGGTTGTGTTAGAAGGCCCTCTTAATGGAGACACCCCAACTCATTAAGAAAAAGCCCTTAGCTTCTTCTTTATCACTGTCTCCTGCTCGTAACATGCATGCATGAAGGAGACAGCGATCATGCCAGCCCCAGAGACAGTCCCACCCTCAAAATAAGAAGAGAGTGAAACTGCTGTATTTATAAGTCTCTGTGATGAAGTGTTTTTAGATAGAAGTGTATGTATATATTATCACGCATGAGACATTTATTAAGGAGAACAATAGGATATTATGATAAGAGTGCCTCTTATATAAGTAATAGAGAGATATTCATCATATATATATTGCATGCGGCCTACGCATGCACACCGCTTAATTAAGAAACGCAGATGGACATCCCTCAAGCATTTCTCTAAAGAAGGGAGGGGCTTCATACCCACTCGCCCGCTGCCTAATATAAAATAAAATAAAAATAAAATGTCTTAAATGGGCTCTTCATTGTCAACATACAGCCCATATATATATACATATATATATATATATGTATATATATATATATGTTTTGACTTATACGTTTGTATACTATTATATATATACAACACCATATATAAATATTTGCACATATACTATATTATATATATATAAGTATTTATATATATATAATATATATATATAAATACACTTTAACACCATATATACATATTTGCACATATACTATATTATATATATAAGTATATACATATATATATATATATACATATATATATACTTTTATATATGGATAGATTTACTTATTTACATAGTATTGTTAAGTGTATTTTTATACATAAATAAAATAAGCCGCCGCTTTGGCTCGAAAAAGAACAGCAAAATGCCCTCAGAATTTTTCAGTTTATCGTCGCTCTTCTGTGCATTTTATAAATAATATATAATATAATATATAATATATAATAATTTAATACAGTCTAATATTATAGCATATAGTATAATATAATAATATAATATATAATATATTATAATAATATATTATTCTGCATGCAAATCGACAAGAAGATATTTTCAGGGGTTCTTTTGTCTTCTTTTTGCGTCTTTTTTTGCTTCAATTATTTTATTAATCCCTCAGCCTCTGCATGCAAATTGTAATATGCTGCTACTGACAGCTAAAGCAGAAAGGCAATGAAGTTTAATAAACAACAAACTATTAGAATTCCCAGCTCAGCGTAGTAGATTAAGGTGGTGCATTAAAGTAGATAAAGATATACTATTCTATATATATATACATATATACATATGTAAATTTATATACATATATATATATATAGCTATATACCTATAGCTATATACCTATATATATATATATATGTATACAGCTATATACATATATATATATATATAGCTGTTGATATAAAGATTTATATATATATATATATATATATACAAAATAAGCCACCGCATGCAGATAAGGAGAGCAGCAGAAATAAATTAATTATATACCAACACCGCACGAGGAAGAATACGAGGGCATGCATGAAGGCCGCTGGTCGCGTTACAAGAAACCCTAAACCCTAACAAACCCTAAACCCTAACAAACCCTAAACCCTAACAAACCCTAAACCCTTGCAAACCCTAACACCTGCTCTAAATCCTACCCCTTAACCCTAATCCTAAACCCTAACCTAAACCCTAACCCTAAGCCCTAACCTAAACCCAAGAGAACCCTCACTCAGCAATGGCAAACCCTAAACCCTAGCAAAACCCTAAACCCTAGCAAAACCCTAAACCCTAGCAAAACCCTAAACCCTAGCAAACCCTAAAGATAATCGGATTAAAACAAAAGGAAAGAGAGAGACCCTCTTCAGTCCATGGCCAGCTTCTATTGTTTGCATGCAAAAATATGTTTATATATACATATATATATATATTTGTTTGTTTATATTTATAATATATAATTGCATATAAGCATATATGTCTGTGTACAGCTGTACTTTACATTCACTCCACCCATATACTGTCTATACAAAGGCAGAGAGATCCACGTAAACATATATATAAATAAATATAAATATATATACATCTATATATATGTACATACATGTATATATATATATATATGTACGCACACACATATATATAAGGTATATATAAAGTTATACATATGTATACATGTAAATATATATATACATACATATATATATAAAATATATATATATAATGTACATATAAAGTATATATACAACGAATGTAATATAAAGTACAAGCACGTACAAGCATATATACAATTATAAATATATATAAATGTATATATATATATATATATATTATTTATATGAATGCACACACCGCACCCAAGTAAGGATGCGTATGTGTAGATGTTTGTGTGTATATATAAAGTAAACGCATGCAATAGAATATACAAATACAAGAAGAAATAGATATTATATAATCTGTAGCTAATCTACGTATACATAAACCCTAAACCCTAAACCCTAAACCCTCAAAAAGAGATTAAACGCGCATGCAGTTATAGACAACGCCAAAAGAAGAACACGAAGAAAACCAGCTCTGCATGCGCTGCTCCTTTGGGGCTGCATGCATTTGAAATATTTGTTTGCTTTGTTTTTGTTTGTTTATTTTATTTGTTTATTATATTTGTTTATTTTATTTGTTTATTTTATTCGCCTTTCACACCCTATACACACTGACGCCACGCATAAAAAGAGCCGCCCTTATAATATAATATATATATATTTATATTATATATATTTATATTATTATATAAGTATATATAATATATAACATATCTATGTGTACTTATATAGCATATATATATTATATATATTTTGTATATATGTATGTATGTGTGAATATGCTCTTAGAGGCATCTACGCGTTATATATATATATATATATATACATGTATAACGTACATATATATGTATATATATATACATAATATATATAAATATAAATATAAATACATATATAAATATAAATATAAATATATATATATATATAAATATATATATATATATATATATATATAATATACGCAAATATGCCTATGATGAAAGGAGAGAGACGCCTATATTTGTAAGTAGTAATATATATAATACATATATATAGTACAAATTAAATAAATAAAATATATGCATTGCAGATATAGTATTATACGTTTATAGACACCCTAAATGCATGCATGCATGCATGCATGCATGCGAAGAGAAGCGAAAGAAGAGCTGTTGATATGCGCCTTCTCCTTTAGGGTTTAGGGTTTAGAGTTCGTCATGTCCAATAGGGTCGTCTTGTTCAGCATCATCATCATCATCATCTTCATCATCTTCGTCGTCGTCTTCCTCCTGCTGCTGCTTCTGCTGCTGCTTCTGCTGCTGCTTCTGCTGCTGCTGCTGCTGCTGTTGCTGCTGCTGCTGTTGCTGCTGCTGCTGCTGCTGCTGCTGCTGTGCTCCACCTGCTGCTGCATTTGTGCTGGCTTGTTCTGCTGCTTTTTCTTGAGCTTTCTTCTGCATCTCTCGCAACATATTAAATGCTTCCTCTTCTTGTGTTTCTAACGCATCAGACAGAGATTGACGTTCTATTTTTTGCTGCTGCCGCTCGCTGCTGCCTGCTGCTGCTGCTGCTGCTGCTGCTGAGGCCTCATCCTTCCACAACAAATCTGTTAAAGGCAATACTACGTTTTCAAACAAACTGCTGTACACCCCACGGAGAGATACCAACGCAGACCTGCGCACAAACCCTAAACCCTAAGCCCTAAACCCTAAACCATAAACAGCAAAGCCTAAACCCTAACACACATTTACAACCCCATTGGACCCCCATGCTGCAAACAAAGCAAAACCCTAAACCCTAAACCCTAAACCCCCCCTTTAACACTCTACCCGGCACCACCCCAAACCCTAAACCCTAAACCCTAAACCCTAAACCCTACTCGAGATCCCAGCCGTAGACGAGGGAAGGCAAAGCAAACATCGTGAAAGCAGCCCGCGGAACGTGTGCACTGATGTGCTCCAAATATATGGCTCCACGAGCATCCTGAAACACAAACCCTAAACCCTAAACCCTAAACCCTAAACCCTCGTCCTCACGTGCTCCTCGCTCATCAGCAACGAGACCGTCCTGACTCCAAACCCTAAACCCTAAACCCTAAACCAGGAGGAGGCTAAGACGCTCTGGAGCCCCAAGACCTTCGAGCCTAAACCCTAAACCCTAAACCCTAAACCCTAAACCCTAAACCCTAAACCCTAAGAAACCCTTACAGGCGCTCCCACAAGGACCTTTCTGCCGGGCTTGAGGCGAAGAGAAGTCGCCCGCACCGGAGAAGAGGGATTCAGCTGCTGCTGCTGCTGCTGCTGCTGCGGCAGCCTCGCATGCAGCTGCAGAGGCCTCAGCGGTGCTTCCCTAGAAACAGTTAGAGAGCCCTAAAAAAATAAAACAATATAATCAACATTAATCTATATTTAGGGTTTAGGGTTTAGAGAGCCCCACACGAGGAAAAGCATATAACAATACTGTCGGCGTTACTCTATATTTAGGGTTTAGGGTTTAAGGGGTCTAAAGCAGCAACACCAGCAGCAGCAAAAGCAGCAGCAGCAACAGCAGCAAAAGCAGCAGCAGCAAAAGCAGCAGCAGCAACAGCAGCAAAAGCAGCAGCAGCACCAGCAGTCACAGCATCAGCAACAGCAGCAAAAGCAGCAGCAGCAGCAGCAGTTTACCTCTAGCATGAAGATGTGTCTGTTTTGGCCGCCGGTATTAATTATAAAATTTGCTCCAGGCGGCAGCACGCGCAGCAGCAGCAACTCATCAACATCGCTGATAAGTATTTGGCTTCTCACTGCCGAGCCTAAACCCCAGAGATAAAACAAACAAACACAAGGGTTTAGGGTTTAGGGCTTAGTAGGGGTTCGGAGGGGGGGCTAGGGTTTAAAGATCGGAGATGCTGGAGCAAAAGGCACCCCTGTATCATCTATACACATGGAGAATCGACTCAAACCCTAAACCCTAAACCCTAAACCCTAAACCCTTACCGTAATGCTCGTACGAAAGGAAGAAGGGCGAATACACCCAAAAACCACCGACAAAATTTGCCTCTAAAGAGGCCCCCAGCAAATCAAGATGTTCTTCAATCGTTAGCTGATCGTCCTGATGCAAACGCAAACACGCAAACCCTAAACCCTAAACCCTAAACCCTAAACCCTAAACTCTGCTGGCGGACAAACCACCGATCATAGATGCAAAAATGCCCCCGTCAATAACGCCTTGAACATAATGAGGTATGCATACACCTGAATTGAACTGAGGTGTATATGCATACACCTGAATTATACTGAGGTGTATATACACCCTAGACGAACCTCTGTGCCCACAACGCCATCTGCGCCCGCTCTTTTAGAGTTTGCAAAGGCGACGACATCTTCTACACAAGGTAGAGAGCCTGAACAAGCCAAACCCTAAACCCTAAACCCTAAACCCTAAACCCTTGCTGGGGTGGCAGCGCCCCTAGTGGGCGCACTCCGCAGGGCTTTTTGAGAGAAGCAGCATACGCGGGCGACAGATGAGTGATGAAGCAGCAGCAGCAGCAACTGCTGCTGCTGCTGCTGTTGCTGTTGCTGCTGCTGCTGCTGCTGCTGCAGTCTCTTGATTCGCTCTTACCTCTGGCGACGTAGGCCGGGGGGCTTCCGTCTAGGGGGACGAAGTAGGGGTCCGACTTTCTTTGTTTTTCTTCTTTTAATAAGCAATTAAATGCCTTTGTATCATGAATTTCAAATTGAGACAAACAAAACAAGAAGACAACAACCACCACCCCTACAATAGAGAGGTCCCTCCACATCGTGGGGCCGGGCTGATGAAAAGCAGCAGAAAAAAGGCGAAAATAGTATATTAATTAAATGCCTTTGCAGATTTCTTGAGATTAAAATACCTCAAATAATAAACAATAAAATAAACAAACAAACGCAGAGCTTCTCTCTACTCTCAATGCAGCCCTCAGAGATGTCTGGTGTATCTTAATACAAACTCACAGTCCTGTCTTAGTAAATAAAGCTGCTGTAGATCTCTTTATATTATTGAATTTTAAGTTGTTTTATTGATTTAAATAGATTTAAATGCATTTAGAAGTTCTTTTTTGAATTAATTGTGCAGTAAAATAGACTTTCTTCCCCGCGTTCGGCTTAAGAAACAGACACACAACGTAGAGCACCTGCTGCTAGAGACCTAAAGCCTTACCATCCATTTAACTCTTATTTCAAAGAATTACTCAATTAAAATATATTATTAATTGGATATTTTATTGTTTTTAACAAGAAATACCGTCAAATATCTGTGCTTTCCACCTGCAGCATTGCGGTGTATATGGAGTGTCTGTATACACCTCGCTGGTCGCTGTGTTTATCGCTCCTGGAGCCTCTGTGCATTTTCTGACTTTTTTGAGTTTAAATACTAATTTACAATGATAAATTATAATTTTAAGTTATTCCTTTTACTCCACATCTCTGCTGTATGTTCCGCTAAGCGCGGCGGGCCCCCCAACAACAGCAACTCCTGCACTTGAAGACTTAAAGCAGCTTCTCGTCTATGCAGAAAGGAGCACAACCCGGGCCTTCACTAATGTTTATTTGCAACTGTAAACGGAGACTAGTAACCCGTTTGCCTCTATGAATGATAATAAACACCCCTTGCACGTCTACGCAAGCATTCCTATCCCCGTCGATACACCCCAGTCTACTTATTAATAGTAATGCTGTTTTTAATACGTCCTAGACAGACAACTATTAACATTTCTGCTACTATTAATAGTAATACCGTCTACAATAAACCCTAGGAAGACAACTATGAACATCTCTGCATACGAATACCGCTGTCTGCTTAAACGATCTATCAGCAAGAATATTATATATATATATATATATATATATATATATATATGCAAATGCATATATATATATATATGCAAATGCATATATATATATATATACAAATGCACTTATCTATTCTATTTATTCTAATCCTAAATGTCTATCAACACCTCCATCTTGGTGTTATACAACTCAGCAAGGGGAAGCGTTAACTCTTCTTAAGAAAATTCAAAGGCAGCAACAGCGGCAGCACCCGCTGTCTTTGCAGCCTCACCGTCGAAGCCTATAATAATATTATCTACGGTGTATCCCCATGTACAGATAATATATATATTATATATTATATATATCTTATGTACTGTATGTTTGTTTGTTTTTGTTTAAATACACCACCTAGATAGTATTATTGTATATAGGCCTATCCAATCCAGGTATATATATTATTATATATCATATATATATAATATATATAATATATAAATATATATATATATGTTGTATATAATATTTATATTATAATTATCCTAATTAACCGCTCAACACGCAAACTCCCCCCGCCTCTTTAATCTTCTTCTCTGCCAACTTCGAGAAGAAACGAGCTCTAACAATGAGAGGTAATTTAGGTAGAGAACCCTTCCCCAGCACCTGCATATCCACAAACCCTAAACCCTAATAAACCCTAATCATAAACCCTAATCACAATACATCTTCTAAACCCCTGTGCTGTGGTGCATGCAGCCCCTTGCGAGATAATACCACCACCTAAACCCTCAAACCCCGCTATTATAGTTCTATATCTATTTAAAACCCTAAACCCTCATTCATGCTGCTGAATCCCCACAAACCCTAAACCCTAAACCCTAAACCCTAAACCCTTGATATTTATTTACCTTGAAGTATCCTGCTCGTGTGCAATCCAAAACAAATGCCTTTCCCTTATTACCGCTCTTTGCTTGCTCCAATGCATTTGGAGACATCAAAGACCAGAGTCTGTCAACATTAATCACGGGGCAGTACTGTTGGTTGCGCAGCAAATGAAAGTGCCTCATGCCGACCTGAAAACACAAGAAAAAACAAACAGAATGATACCACATACACCCCAAACCCTAAACCCTAAACCCTAAACCCCAGACAAAAAAATTCACTCTGCCCAAGGCGCTTGCGGTGTACGCTGAGGTTCGGGTGTATGCACAACATTTTGAATATCAGATTTCGAAGGTAGCTGCGCTGTATGTTGAGTTTATCAGTTTCGGGTGTATGGTGAGGTTCGAGTGTATGCTCAGTTTGCTGTGTACATATGAGTTGTTTGGGGTGTATAATCAGCTTGTGGTGTATGATGAGCTCGGGAGGTATGATAAAGATGAATCTGCTCAGTCTTTGCGGTGTATATTGAACTTGAGGTGTATAGCCAGCTCGTGGTGTATGCTGCGTTTGAGGTGTATATTGAGGTGTATATTGAGTTTGAAGTGTATATTCAGTTTGAGGTGTATATTCAGTCTGGGGTGTATATTCAGTTTGGGGTGTATATTCAGTTTGAGGTGTATACTGAGTTTGGGGTGTATATTCAGTTTGAGGTGTATATTGAGTTTGAGGTGTATATTGAGTTTCAGGTGTATATTGAGTTTGAGGTGTATATTGAGTTTGAGGTGTATATTGAGTTTGAGGTGTATACTGAGTTTGAGGTGTATACTCACCTTGCCGAAGTACCCAGGGTGGTATTTATCGAAGTGAATTCGATTGTGATGTAAACCACCAGCCTTACCGCGACCTCCTGGGTGTTTGCGGTGCTTCCCCACGCGCCCATGGCCTGAAACCCGCAAACCCTAAACCCTAAACCCTAAACCCTAAACCCTAATCATTTGAAAGAGAGCCGAATTCGGAGCCCCTTTTATTCAATCCCCTGCTCAGATTAAAACCCTAAATCCTCATACTCTACCCTTCATATGCAGATGCTCTCTCTTTACACAAACAAACCTAAACCCTAAAACCTAAACCCTAAACCCTAAACCCCCGCATCACCTGCAGAGACGTGGCCTCTGAGCCTGCGAGTCTTCCTGAGGCGAGTTGTCATCTTCACTTAAAAATTTCTGCACAACAACACAAACCCTAAACCCTAAACCCTAAACACAGCCCCAAAAACTAGAAGAAGAGGCAGCAGCAGCCGCAGCAGTAACGTCTGCAGCAGCAGCAGCAGCAGCACCCTCTGCTGCTGCTGCTGCTGCACAGGGCTAAAGGACTGCTCCTTCCAGGCGAAAGAAGAGCATCAAAATATAGAGAAAGTGTAATTATCTTTTGCTGCTGCTGCTGTTGCTGCTGCTGCGCCTCCCGATGCCCCCCGCGGCAGCGGGAGCCGCAGCAGCAGCAACAGCAGCAGCAGCAACTGCAGCAGCAGCAGCAGCGTGCAGTGCCTCACCCCAAGCCTCAAGAAGAACTCCCAGAAAACACCAAAGTATACGGTCTTATCACCTTTCAACAGCAGCAGCAGCAGCAGCAGCAACAAGATCTGCTGCGCGGAGGCTTCTTGTGGGGTGGGGCTGGCGCAGCCGCAGCCGCAGCAGCAGCAGCAGCAGCCGCTGCTGTGGCTGCTGACGTCTGCAGCAGCAGCTGCTGCATGCATGCACACGCCTTCCACAATAGCTACTCGATTAACAATACACCCGAAATAACTTTTATTTTAAGTGCTTCACCAAGATACACTCAACAGTACTGCTGCTGCTCCTGCTGCAGCAGCTGCTGCTGCTGCTGCAGCAGCAGGAGCGGGAGCAGCCGTTTGCAATTTATTAGGCAAACTCTACTGAAATTTGCTGCCTGCAGCAGCAGTAGCAACAGCAGCAACAGCAGAAGCAACAACAGCAGAAACAGCAGCAGCAGCTACCAGCAGCAGCAACAGCTGTGCACATTGCTCCAGCAGCAGCAGCAGCAACTGCTGCTGCTGCTGCTCGAACAGAAGCAAAGATGAGAGGGGGAGGTATACGCATCCGACCCCCGGGGGTGCGTCAGCCGAACGGCAAGTGGAAACCCTAAACCCTAAACCCTAAACCCTAAACCCTAAACCTTTTTCAGCGGTTTGTGTGCAAGCCTGCACACAACCGCATGCCTCTTCTTTTTGTTTATTTGACTCGTACTGCGCTGCTGCGCCTTCTAGACTTCCATTTATAACACCTATATCCGGCTTTCGAGGGTTTAGGGTTTAGGGTTTAGGGTTTAGGGTTTAGGGTTTAGGGTTTGTGCTCAGGGTACTTCAGGATTTGGCCGCATTTGGAGTTTCAGCGGATGAATTACCCCACATGGCCTCCTCCGAATTCTTCGCCTTTGCATCCGGTTTGTTAGGGTTTAGGGCTTAGGGTTTAGGGTTTAGGGTTTAGGGCTTGTTGGAGCCTGCGTTTGAGTTGGGGCGTCAGCTGGGGATCTAGGGTTTAGGGCTTAGGGTTTAGGGTTTGTGCTGCAGATTGAGCCCTGGGGCCGTCAGGTTTTTGTGTTTACTCCCTACGCCGCCGATCTGACTGCACCTCTCTCAGGGCCTTATCCGCGTTCTCCTCCCTTGAGGGGAGTAAGTGTCTAGGGTTTAGGGTTTAGGGTTTAGAGTTTAGGGTTTAGGGTTGTGCCTCCGAGTTTAGGATCAAGCTTCGGTTTAGGGTTAAGCGCTGGAGCCGCTTTATTAGAGCATGTCAAGCTCTGGGGGCTTGGGGTTTAGGGTTTAGGGTTTTAAGGTGTAGCTGGCTCTGTTTAGCTCTTGCCTAGGGTTTAGGGTTTAGGGTTTGGAGTGTCGTTTTTCTTGCTTCAGACCCTGGCTTGTGAATGCTGCCCTAGGCTTTGTGTAGAGTTTAGGGTTTAGGATTTAGGGTTTGGGGTTTATTGTTAGGGTTTGGGGTTTAGTGTTAGGGTTTAGGGTTTAGGGTTTGTGTTGCAGCCTGCGCCTCCTTCGGTTCGCCTCTCCCCTCGATTGGAGCGTTTAGCTGCTGAATCTGCAGCAGCAGCAGAGCGTGCTGCTGCTGCTGCTGCTGCAGGTGGTTTGTTGGGTGTGTTGTCTGCTCCTGCGTATGCAGCAGCAACAGCTGCGAAGAAAGCAGCAGCAGCAGCAGCAACAGCAGCAGCAGCAGAAATAGCAGCGGGGCCGCTGCAGCAAGCAGCAGCTCCTGTTCTTTGTATAACCGACTATGGCAGGCGTCCTCTATTGTTTTTATCAAGCGAAGATTTGTCTGAATTAAAAAGGCATATGCAGCACTTCTACACCTTAATGCGAGAATTCAAGCGCTCCGCCAAGGTAAACAATGCTGGGGTTTAGGGTTTAGGGTTTAGGGTTTAGAGTTTTCAGGGGGTAGGGTTTTGTATGGCGGCGTTTGAGGGTTTAGGGTTTTGAGGGTTTGTCTGTCAGCGGCTTTGAGCTATGCGGGGGTTTTCTTCTTTAATGTAGCTCCTTCTCAACTTAGGGTTTAGGGTTTAGGGTTTGTCTTTTGCATGTTGTTTGCTGTTTTAATCTTGAGGGGATATCTAGGCCCATAGGACGCAGCTTGAGGGTTTAGGATTTGGGGTTTATGTGCTGCAGCAGTTCAGCGAAGAGGGCGCCTGACGCCTGCTGCTCGATGTGAGGGTTTAGGGTTTAGGGTTTAGGGTTTGGGGTGTATGTGCCTCAGGCGTCTGATATAGAAAATATATACAGAGTGCGGAGGCTGCTGCTGCCCTACAAGACAGTTGGTATGCAGCGGATGAAGAAGGGGGAGCATCAGTCTTACGGGATGAAGAAGGGTGTTGCACGCGAACGAAAAACCTAAACCCTAAACCCTAATCCCTAAACCCTAATCCACTGGTGTGTACTTGTTACACAGCCAATACTAAACCCACTCGACACGTAAACGGATACACCACAGAAACAGAAACCCCTGAAGAGGAGTTCAGGAGTTTCAGCTGAAAAGATAGAGATTCAGGCTCAAGGGTTTAGGGTTTAGGGTTTAGTGAGGTTGTGTGCAGGGGGCTTTGGTGTTTCTTTGCTGCTCCTTCCTCTCTGAACTTTTTTTTTAATTTTGTTTGTTTTTAATTCGGTTTTTTAACAACGCTGGCGTACATTTGCTTATTTTATCCTCGCCTTTGAATTTTTTTTAGGGTGTACGTACATCGCAGATATAGATGTATGAAGTAGGTGTAAAGTATTATGTATATGGTGTAGTATAGACAGTAGACAAAGCACAAACAGTGCAATAAGCAGATCAAGAAGGAAAAGCTCAAGCAAAACCTGAACTAGAAACACATTATATTACATTGAAATAAAGAGAGGAGTTGCGGTGTATGCTCAGCTCCCATCGTCTGCTCTACCTTCAACGGTTCTGGTGCTGTTATGATTGAAATATGGCTTATTTCCTTCGTTTTCTGCATTTTAATAAGTTAATAAACCGTTTTTATTTAAATTACCTCAAAAAAGAAGAAAATCTCCAATGAATTAACCGCACCAGACGCCTTGCTGCTCCACCACGGAGGTGAGCATACACCCGAAATGGTAGTGAAAATGCGTACATACGAAGTCGAAAATACTGCAAAAACTCGCGGGAATTGATTAATTTAAATTAATTTAAATTTAATTAATGTAATTTAATTTAATTTAAATTAATTTTTTCAATTTTAATTCCCGTTTCCCTCTTCGTTTGCTGTCTTAGGGGCTCTAACATGCGGCGATAGCTCAGTTGGGAGAGCGTTAGACTGAAGATCTAAAGGTCCCTGGTTCGATCCCGGGTCGCCGCGCTTTTTAGAAAGTTGCAGCTTTTTGAATAGAAATGGAGCAGCAGCTTTTGATTTAGCTGCAGCAAATACCTTTGTCTCACCAACAACAAAAGAGAAAATATAAAAGAGAAGAAAGCGCCTTCCTGCTGCTGCTGCTGCTGCTGCTGCTGCTGCTGCTGCACACCGCATCTTGCTGCTGTTGCACGCTGCAGTCTGCTGCTGCTGCTGCTGAGGATTTTAGAACTGCCATTGCTGCAGCACACGTTGCTGCACCAACCCATCGAAATGTGCAGCTGCTTCAATTAATGCAGCGCCTGCTTCTATCCATCACACCGATAGATTTTGCTGCTGCTGTTGTTGCTGCTGCTGGTGCTACTGCTCGGAGTATCGCCTGAGACCTTGAAATATGTCCTCTGGTTGATGTCTTTGCCTTTCTGTTTGTTTGTCTGCATGCGTATAATTAATCTGTTTCTATCATTACCTCCTGTCCCCTCTGTCTTCTTCCTATTTATTTTTTTTAATTTTGTTTGTCTTGTTTGACTCCACTTCATCTGTTTATTTTTTAGTTTAACTCTCTATGCTTTGTTGTTTATGTTATCTGCATGTATTTGTTTGCTAATGCAAATAGAGACTTATTAAAGCTATGTCTCTGCTTCTTTTATGCCTGCTTCTTCTTCTGTTCTCACCTCCTTACGCATTTTAACAATATATATATATATTTTTAATCGCCCTTTTTAAATTATTACCAGCAATAAAAACTCAAAAAACAACGGGCTGCCCCCAACAAGTCGAATGTATGGCGGTGTTGCTGAGGTGTATATACACCTCAATAAGTGTTCTTGAGGTGTACATACAGAGCACTTCTTAAGTGTATATATACACCCCACTGAGTGTTATTGAGGTACATATATATATATATATATATATATGTATATATGTATATATATATATATATGTATATGTTTATGAGGTGTACATACACCTGAAAGTGTTGTTCTTGAGGTGTATGTACACCTCTTTGTTTGATTTTTCTGAGGTGTACGTACACCTCAGTGTGTGTACAAGTGCTGTCTGCGCCGAAATAATAAACAAATGTACAAATAATTAAAATAATAATCTCGCGATGCATAAAGCGAAGTACAAACCCCCAAAAAAACCCTTTCAGGTGTATGACGGGCAGCAGAATTACGGTGTACATACACCGCAACTATTATATTATAAGATTACATTATATTATATTAAGACGGATCGAAGGGGGAGCATTCAAACACCTCCTGCAGCGTGAAGCTCTCTTCTGCTGCTTTGCTGCTGTCTGCTGCAGCACAACGAGCAGCAGCCCAAGAAGACGCTAGCGATGAGGCCCGCTGCAGCAGCTGCTGCAAATCTCCCTCAACTCCTGCTGCAGCAGGTCCTGCTGCTGCTGCTGCTGCTGCTGCTGCATCCTGAAGCCCCGCAGCAGTCCCCTCCGGTGACTCGCCAGAGGTAGGAGGTTCAAGAGACAGAAAATTACGCTCGTCTACTTCTTCTTGCTGCTGCTGCTGCTGCATCTGCTGCTGCTGCAGCTGCTGCTGCTGCTGGGGCTCAAGAGCGCCCACGCTGCTGCTGCTGCTACCAGCAGCAGCAGCAGCAGCAGAGTCCTCTGCTGCTGTTGCTGGATCTGTGAATAACGCATCGAACAGCTCCATCTCATCTGACGGATCTTCTGCTGTTGCTGCTGCTGCTGACTCGCCAAAGCTGTTGCTGCTGCTGCTGCTGTTGTTGTTGTTGCTGTTACTGCTGCTGCTGCTGCTCCCGTCTCCCTGCTGCTGCTGCTGCTGCTGCTGCAAAGGAGACAGGCACTCATAGCCGGTAGGACAAGGTAGTTGGTCTTCTTGCAGCAGCTGCTGCTGTTGCTGCTGTTGCTGCTGCTGCTGCTGCAGCGCCAGCAGCAAGTCCTCCCCCCAAAGCCTTTCTAGGCAGAAATCTACATCTTGAACACAAAGAACAGCTGGCTGTTGCAGCCACTGCAGCAAGAGCTGCTGCTGCTGCTGCTGTTGCTGCTGCTGATTCTGCTGCTGCTGTTGTTGTTGCTGCTGCTGCTGCTGCCTCGCGATAGCATACCCAGCAGCAGAATGAAGCACTTCATCTATAAACAGCTCGCAACCAAGAGCAAGGACCCGCAGCAGCGGTGTGTCTATATCAGTTGCTGCTGCTGCTTCCTCTTCACCTGCTGCAGCAGGCCCCAGACCATCTGCTGCGCTGCTGCTGAAGTCTTCGTCCTCTGCAGCAGCAGCAGCAGCAGAAGCAGGAGCTGCTGCTGCAAGGCTGTCTGCTGCTCCCCAGCCTGCGCTTCTGTCTACCCCAAGGGTGTTCTCCCCTTGTTTCTTTCGTTTGCTGCTATCAGCAGCAGCAGCAGCAGCACCTGCTGCATCTGCTGCTGCTGCTGCATCTGAGAGACATCTTCTAAGAAACCAACACCAAGTGCTTCCCTCAGCTTCAAGTGCTGCTGCTGACTGCGGAGTATTGCTGCGGTCATCCTGTTGCAGCATATTTCTGCTGCTGCCAGCTAAAGCAGCCGGCACACGGACGCCTGTTTGCTGCTGCAGCGCGTCATCGTAGAAGCTGCTGCTGCTGCTGCTGCTGCTGCGCTGCTGCTGCTGCTGCGGGGGCGGTTGCGGTAACCTCCGTACGGGTTTGAAGGTTTTTCCTGTGGCGGCGATATTTTGCTGCACAACAGCTGCTGCTGCTCGGTCTGCTGTTGCTGCAGCACACGCAGCAGCTGCTGCTGTTGCTGCTGCTGCTGCAGTTACAGGCGCAGAGATACGCACGGGCTGTACAGACACCCGAGGAGGCCCCTCACCACTACTTAGAGGGTTTTTAAATCGGCTATCAAATTTTTGCTTCGAAGAAATGGGCATAGAAAGCCCCTGAGGCAACGAAGCCCGCATCCTACACCCGCAGCATTGCTGCTGCTGCTGCTGCTGCTCTTGCTGCTGCTGCTGCTGTTGCTGCTGCTGCTGCTGCTGTTTCTGCTGTTCCTGCTACTGCTGCTGTTGTTGCAGCTGCTATTGCTGCTGCAGTGATGTTGTTGTTGCTGCTGCTGCTGTTGCTGTTGCTGCTGCTGCTACTGCTGCTGTTGTTGCTGCTGCTGCTGCTGCTGCTGTTGCTGCTGATGAGGATGGGAGCCACCCTTGTCTGGGTAGTAGGGGCTTAACACCCTCCCTGTTGCTGCGTGAGTTGCTGAGTTATGTCGTAACTGCTACTAATGCTGCTGCTGCAGCAGCAATACAGAAATGCTGCTGCTACTGCTGCTGCTGCTACTGCTGCTGCTGCTGCTATTACTCGGGCTCCGCCCCACGCCTGCAGAGGCCGCCTCTTGTTATCGGCCTTTCCCTGGGAGTCAGCGGGATACCAGTTCCTTCCGATGAAGTTGTTGCTGCTGCTGCTGCTGTTGCTGCTGCTGCTGCTGCTGCTGCTGTTAAGCGCTGCGGCAGCCGCGTATATGTCCACAGTCTGTCTACAGCGACAATTCAAATAAATCTGCTGCAGCGCCTCTACAACTAAGTTCTGTGTGAGAAGCCCTTCAGCAGCAGCAGCAGCCGCTGCTGCTGCAGCAGCGGCTGTTGCTGCTGCATGCATGCGCTGCTGCTGCTACTCACTTCCTTGGGTTAGCAGCATCGCGCTGAAGTATAATAAACAATAAAGCTATAACTGTGAAAACACAGAAAAGTATGATCTTTAGGTACTGCGTCTACAGCAGCACGCTATAGCCGTAGTTGTTCTTGCTGCTGCTGCTGCAGCAGCTGCTGCTGCTGCTGCTGCTGTCGTTGTTGCACCGAAACAGCGTACACGAAGGCCCAGAGGGGTTTTCAGTAGCCGCAGCACTTAGAAGGGGCTCCTGACTAGCGGGATATGGCGACTGCTGCAGCAGCAACAGCTGCTGCTGCAACAGCAGCAGCAGCAACAGCAGCAACAGCAGCAAATACCACTGCGCCAGAGACACCTGTGGAGCTGCCAGCAGCAGCTGCTGCATTTCTTGATGCCTTAAAGCAGCTACCAGGCTCTGCTTCTGAGGGGACGTATGCAGGCCTCCTGAAGCAGCAGCAGCAGCAGCAGCAGCAGGAGAAGACAGTCGAACCAGCAGCTAAGCGAGCCCGTAGAAACAGCAATCTAGAGCAGGCAGTCTCTGCAGCAGACACCACTGCTGCTGCTGCTGCGACTGCTGCTGCTGCTGACTGTACACCCGAAGGCCTTACCGCACCTATGGAGGCGTTGCGGCGGCAGCAGCAGAAGACAACTCATTTGGGTTTTGCTGCTGCTGCAGCTGTTGAAGCAGCACTGCTGAAGCTGGAGCAGCAAGTTGAGAGATGCGTCTCTCTCAGACACAAACTGCGCCAGCAGCAGCAGCAGCAGCAGCAACAGCAGCAGCAGCAACAGCAGCAGCAGGAAGCGCCTGTTAGCAGAGAAGGCAATGGTGAGTTATGTTGCTGCTCCCTGCGTCAAGTATAGAGCCCTGGAGCTGCTGCTGTTGCATCTACTGTTGCTGCTGCTGCTTCAGGTGCTGCGGTTGCTGCTGTTGCTATTGGCTTTGCTGCTGTTGCTGTTGCTGCTGCTGCTTGTGTTGTGTGCAGCAGCAAAAGGAGAGCCTCAGGCGAAGGCTGCAGGGTCTGACGCCGCCGGAGATGCTCAATCGGCATGGTTAGTGCTGCTGCTGCTGCTGCTGCTGCTACTGCTGCTGGTTCTGCTGCTGCTGCTGCTGCTACTGCTGCTGGTTCTGCTGCTGCTGCTGCTGCTTTGTTAGTACTTGGTGGGAGGGGGCAGCACGTGAGAAAAATGTATGCACTTTCTGCTGCTGTTGTTGTTGCTGCTGCTGCTGCTGTTTCAGGGCGGCACTGGTTCGCCAGGCTTATAGCAACACGAACACCACCAGCAGCAGCAACAGCAGCAGCAGCAACAGCAGCAGCAGCAGCAGCAGCGGGGATATGTTGGAGACTGTACGAGCCCTGAATGAAGCGCAGCAGCACAGCATTCCTGCTGCAGTGATGGAGCTGCGACGGTGCCACCGGCTGATGTGTCTGCAGCAGCAGCAGCAGGATCAGGTTGTTGCTGTTGCTGCTAAGAGGGGCTTTGCTGCTGCTGCAGCAGAGAGGGAAGCCAGCTATCAATACGCGCTGCTCTGGGGCTGTGTGCTGCTGCTGCTGCGGCGCTCAGAGACGCATGCAAGAGCCTTGCTGCAGCAGCTGCGCGAGCAGCACGATGAAATCAGCAGCAGCAGCAGCAGCGACGGGTTAAAGGCAGAAGCAACTGAGGGAACAGCAGCAGAAGGAGACATGTCTCTTGCTGTTGCTCTATATAGATTTGCTGCTGCTGTTTCAACGGAGGATGTTGCTGCTGCTGCAGCAAAGGCAGCAGCTTCTCCTTGTGCTGCAGCCGAAGCAGCAGCAGTAGCAGCAGCAGCAGCAGCAGCAGAGGAGGCCTTCCATCACCGCCTTCTATCTTTCCTCACGAAGGAGCTGCAGCAGCGGGAGCAGCACATTGCTTTGGTTGCTGCAGCAGAGAAGCGGCGACTGGCTGTGAGTTACGCTGCTGCTGCTGCTGCTTCTGCTGCTGTTGCTGTTGCTGCTGCTGCTCCTCCTGCTGCTGCGTCTGGTGCTGTTGCTGCTGTTTTTGCAGATGGTTCTTCTTTCTCTATCGCCGCTGTTGCTGCTGTTGCCGCGTCTGCTGCTGTTGCTGCTGCTAGTGCTCTTGCTGCCTCAACTGTTGTTACCCGTCGGTGGTGCTGCTGCTGCATCTGCTGCTGCTGTTGCTGCTGCTGGTTTGCTGCTGCTGCTGCTGTTTCGAACGGCGTCCCCACAAGAGGTGCTGCATGCATGCGCTGCGGTGTCTGTACAGGCGGAGAAGGAGCAGCAGCAAGCAGCAAACCGTTTGAGGACACTGCAGCAGAAGCAGCAAGTGCTGCGGCGTATCATCCATGAGTTTGCTGCTCTCTGCAGCGCAACACCTGCTGATGCTGCTGTTGCTGACAGCAGCAGCAGCAGCAGCAGCAGCAGTGCTGGCAGCAAGAGTGGTGGCGCCACCACTACGAACACTTCTAGCGGCAGCAGCAGCAGCAACAGCAGCAGCAGCAGCAGCAACAATAACAGCAACAATAACAGCAGCAGCAACAATAACAGCAGCAGCAACAACAGCAACAACAGCTACTCGAAGCAGAGTCCTGCTGCTGAAAAGGAGCAGCAAAACACGAAAGGATGAACTATCATCCTGTTGCTATTGCTGCTGTTCCTGTTGCTGCTGCTGCTGCTGCTGCTGCTGCTGCTGCTGCTACGTTTAAAGGCGCGCTGCGGCAGACAAACAGCAGCAACTTTAAGAGAGAGACAAAGACAGAGACACAGCAAAAAGGAGACAGTTTATTTCTGTCTCCTATTTCTTATTTATAATATATATTAATATATTATATATAATATATAATATGTAATATATAATATATAATATATAATATATATTA